TCGAGTATTGGAGGCAGGGATGAAATAAAGTTCTTTTTCCCGTTATACTCGACCGAGTATGAACATGTACTCGATCGAGTACTGGAGGCAGGCTTTTTTTGTTCTTCTTATTTCAGCTCATACTCGACCGGGTAAAGGAATATACCCGATCGAGTATGCCCCCAGACACTTCAAAACCTGTATTTTCTTCTTCTTCAAAACAAACATGTGATTAGTTCCCTCTCTCTTTTCTCTCAACTTCACACAAAAAGGAAATAAAATCTAACTAATTGACTTGGGTTGCCTCCCAAGAAGCGCCTTATTTTACGTCGTGGCACGACGTTTTATTTATTTTTATTTTTTTATTTTATGTGGGATCGTGAACAATTTTGTTTGGCCTTGTACTCATTTTGTTTTTCGACCTTTTCCAGTAAGGTCGAATTTTTGTTTTTATTGCCTCCTCAACCGCAGATGATCCCCTATTCTTATTTTTTTGAAAAATTGGGATTTTATTAGATTCCTTCAAAGACTTTGGTTCTTGTGGTCCAAAAACAGTTAAAGAACAAAGAGATTGGGCTTTAATTTGTTTTTTCATAGAGTCAAAGATGTTGAACTCTACTTTTTGGTCATCAAACTCTAAAGTTAATGAACCATTAGACACATCTATTTTTGTTTGGGCCGTTTTTAAGAAAGGTCTTCCCAAAAGGATGGGTGTAGCTTGGTTATCGGCTTCCATTTCAAGAATATAGAAGTCGACGGGGAAGACCAAATTTTCAACTTTTATTAGCACGTCCTCTACGATGCCCTTTGGGTATATGCTAGAACTATCCGCCAATTGGATTATTACCCCGGTTTCATGCATAGGACCAAGTTTTAGGGACTTGTATAATGAATATGGAATAACATTGATTGAAGCCCCTAAATCTAACAAGGCCCTAGGAAATAAAGTGTCCCCTATTTCGCAAGGGATAGTGAACATGCCTGGATCGTTGCATTTTTCCGGGAGTTTCCTCTGAAAAATTGCTGAGACCCGTTCACTAACCTTGACCTCTTGTTTCCCTTTCAATTTATTCTTTCTTTTTATCGTGCATATTTCTTTTAAAAACTTTGCATAACGGGGAACACTTTTGATCAGTTTAAAGAGTGGGATATTTACCTCACAATTGGCGAAGGTCTCGTAGATGTCCCGATCATTCTCCACCTTCCTCGTGTCCTTCAGCGCCTCAGGGAATGGAGGGAGTTGCTCATAAGATGACAGTGGGGGGAATTTAGTTTTAGCCGGTTCCTCTTCATCCGGTTGAAAAGCTTCTCCAAGATCAACTTCCTTTTCTTCAGTATCCACCTCTTTCAATGTTGTCCCGCTCCTCAGCATGATTGCATTACATTGTTGTCTAGGATTTTGCTCCGTTTGAGATGGGAGTTTACCTGAATCTTTTGCCTCAAGTCGGCTTACAGCATTCGAAATTTGGCTAACTTGAGTTTCCAAATTTTGAATGCTCGACTTTGTTTCTTGTTGAAATTGTAAAACATTTTGTTGCAATGTGCCCATGTTCGTAGCAAGAGCTCGAATCATGTCCTCCGTGGACATGTTAGAGTTGGAGCTTTGAGTTTGATGGTTTGGGAAGGGTTGTTGAAAGGACTGATTTTGATGTGGTTGAGGGCTCCCATATCTCAAGTTAGGGTGATCTCTCCACCCGGGATTGTAAGTGTTAGAGTGTGGATCATACCTCTTTTGTTGTTGGGTTTGGAAACCCAAGGCGTTGACTTGCTCTTCTTGGAGAGTTGGGCAAGAATCTGTTGGATGCCCTTGCTGTGTGCATATGCCGCAGACCTTGACCTCTTGGTTTCTAGGATTTAAAATGAAGTCCTTAACCAAAGAAGTCAAGTCGGCCATTCGACTTTCTAAAGATGAAGATGATTCCACCGCGGCAACTTTACGGGTTGAGGACCGCCCGTTGTAGTGCCTAGAGTTCTCGGCCAACTCCGAGATCAAGCTAATTGCTTGTGAGGGGGTTTTGTTGACAATGCCGCCCCCACAAGCGGCATTCACCATTCTTCTATCATCATCAACAAGACCATCATAAAAGTAGAGTATGAGGTCTTGCTCGGTGTAGCCATGATAAGGGCAACTAGCATATAACTTTTTGAACCGTTCCCAATATTCATATAAGGTCTCATCATCTTTTTGATCAATGTTGCTTATTTGTTTTTTCAAAGATGATGAGACGGAGGCGGGATAGTACCTTTCTAAGAAGCATTTCTTCATAGCCGCCCATGTACCTATACTTCCCGAAGGAAGATAGAAAAGCCAATCCTTAGCGGTGTCTTTGAGGGAGAATGGAAAAGCCCTCAGTTTGATTTGTTCCTCGGTAACTCCATTTGGGCACATGCTTGTGCAAACAATATGGAATTCCGAGAGATGTTTGTTCGGATCCTCTCCTCTTAGCCCGTGGAAGGAAGGAAGTAGATGAATAAGCCCCGATTTGAGCTCAAAAGTATTACCTTCATCAAGTGTAGGGAAGGTAATACACAATGGTTGTTGGTTGAGGTTTGGAGCGGTGAGCTCCCTTAACGTTCTCGTTTCGAGAGCCATAGTTGTTGGCTCTTCAGGCTCGCTAGATTGAGAACTAGCACTTGATGATTCCTCCGAAGAAGTATTCGGAAATAAATTCCTAAACCTTTCGAAGGCTTGTTCCGTGTGGGGGGTTGTTTGGTAGATGATTTCGTTTATAGATCGGGTTCTTACCATATACTCAAACAAAGCTCAGAAGAAGTAGAAATCTTTATACTTCAACTATTTTTTTTTCTTTTTTTCTTTAAAATGAAATAAAAAGAAAAATAAATTGCCTTTCCCCGGCAACGGCGCCAAATTTGACGTGCACTTTGTCGTGAGTGCACTCAAAATAAATACAATACAACAAATATACGTAGTATATTGAAGTAAGGTTCGTATCCGCAGGGAAAGGAATACTTCTCTTTTTATGTAAATAATAAGTAAAGGGGGTTTTGATTGAGTGATTTAATTAAAATTGAACACGAAGATGAACGAGTTATGTGGTTTAATTTAAAGATAAAAGAGACTTGGTATTGCTATTTTACACTTGTTGATATATTTTAGTCGATCATTGTTATATCTATAACTTATCTCCTCTCGAATACTCAATCGAGGAGTATATCCAATTCATCGAGGATAGTTATTAACAACGACCGTTCATTAATAACCCTTACTATTAGTCAAGTATAGAACAAGCGCCGTATACCGACTTGATAGTAGCATTTAATCGCTTAACTCCTTGATGAAATCAATTGAGATCGATAACCTCAACACAAGCGGTTTCGGTTTAACCAACACAATTAATTCCTCTTAAATCTATTAACCACAACCGTGCATTAATAGACCGAAGTTACTTACTTGTGAAACTATCAACGATTAACCATTGGTTCGTTGATCGTTTCTAGTAGTAATTAATATATGAAACAAAACTAGTTGATCCTTTAAATAATGTTCAAAATATTAATATGAAATATGAATAGGAATTAATTAATACTCAAGGAAGAATATTAAAAGGGAATGAATCCTACTATAGTTAAATATCAAGATGTTAACTAATTGTCATCTTAGTAACACTCCCCGATATTAACATAGAGGAAGGAATAGCTATTACTAAAACCAATGTCAAGATGTTAACTAATTGTCATCTTAGCAACACTCCCCAACATTCATATAGAAATAGTATTTGAAGGAAGAATTAATATTCAAGGAAAGAAGTTAAGAAAATAACTCACAACTTTAATAATCAACAAGCTTCAAGAGCAATACCAAGAAATGGAAGTTTAGCTCCTCATTTGGAGACTAAACATGCTAAAAGAAATATAGAGAAATGCTATTCTAAACTGAGCTTAAGAGTATAAAGGAATTGGTGTCCTAAAGTGAAGGAAAGGAGGTGTATTTATAGGCTTTTTGGAGTGCAGGCCGAGTACTCGATCGAGTATGTACATATACTCGATCGAGTATGTGTAGAAACCTGAATTTGGTCAATACTCGATCAATACTCGAGTAGATTTTATATGTATACCCGATCGAGTATGTCGGTGTACTCGATCGGGTATGACAATAGAACGTGGCCAAATCTTTCCTTGCATGTTCATTTGTTCCCGGATCGGATCCTTGAAAATCAGTATTGGTACTCGATCGAGTATAAGGTATACTCGACCGAGTATACCCCAAAATCAGGAGTTTTTCCTTCTTTTACTCTTGCACCTTCCTTCACCTTTGATCATTTGATTGATCTTGGACCTGTTTAAGCTCAGAATAAACCTAATCTAAACAAATTACAAGAATTTAACAAACTAAACTATTACACCGAAAGTGTGTAATTTCCGAAATATTAAACAACCAAAACTAACTAAAAACGTAAATAAACACACGGAAATTACAAACGTATCAAAAGTCAAATTACTGTTTTAGGTTTTGGACCTTTAGGAATAAATTTCAACATGAATCATATTAACTTTCATTCAACTTTTAAACTTATGTATAATGATGTAGTAATAGTATTAGTTATATTTATTCCAAGCTAGCAACTTTTGGGAGACTGAGACTTTATTGTGATAATCCGATGACTCAAATTTAAATTTATCTAAATAAACTTTAATTTTTTCAATCTAATTAAATTTTAGTTTCACATGTAAACTATTTGGATTTAATCATTAATACTACCTCCGTCCCAAAAAGAATTGCGAATTTCACTTTTTTTAATCAGGCAATCTCGTTTTGTTCACTTAATTAGGATGTCAATTTTTAAATATTTTGTAATTTGGAGTTTACAACTTTGAAGAAATTTTAATGTAGTTTTTGAATATGTAAATTTTAATTATTAAAAATTGAATTAATTATCCACAAGGAGGGTTGACTTTTATTATTGATTGACAAAAAAATGTTGACTTTGCAAAACAAATTGGGATAGAGGAGTAATTAATATTGCCTCATATTGCTAAGAATTGGCCAATTCCATTTCAATCGGCCCAATTAAACGATGCATCTGGAATCCTAACCCTATGTTCGTCTATACATAATACATCCACCGCCTCATTTCAGATGATATCCGAACATTTGGAATTCTATGTAATCGTCTACTCCGTATGTCAAGTTTCTCTGATCGGTTCTATTCTTCTCAGCTCCCATCTATGTCGCTTAATATCTTTGCGAAGTTAATTGATCACCTCCTTGTCTCATCGACGACATCTCTTAATCTCTAACATAGCTTTTATCAATTAGCTAGACGTTTATGTTTCTTCCTTCCGTTTACTGATCGAACGTTGAGAAAATGTGTACATAATGTGCTTATTTTCTCCACCCTGTATCATTTTGGTATATCTATTTCCACCCCCAATACCTTCGAATCCTGTTCTGTGATTTGGTTTTGCCTCAATAAAAAGCTCTGATTCCGTTTCTGCTTAGGGCTTGTTATTTATTTTCCGTGTATGGAAAGAGGCAAATATTCAAATGCGGGAGAGTTGAGTCGCTCCGCCATAGGTGTTCAACTGGCGCAGCTAATGAAATCCCGCAAAATCATATATGCTGTTTATATTAATAGTTTTCCAGCAGGCAATGAAATTGTGATTATATTTGATTCATATAGATTCACGAAGTTGGATATGTAGTACTGCTTTTGTGTGGATTGAGTTAGTCGACATTGTTATGGAAATCCGATGATGGCATGAAATCTTTGAGACCTGATAGTCTACTATTGATGTCAACATAAGCATATATTTCTGAGGATTCTCCCCACTGTTTATGGTTTTTTCAAAGTGTTTATGAGATTTGAAAAATTGTGACCATTTTTGATGAGAAATTGAGATGATGATCGCACTGGGCTCTGAGCAGTTTTGAATAAACACTGTAATCTGATGCACATTGCAGCCTAGAAAGCTATGTCTGATCTTTAACTCACGAGATGTCTCAGTATTACATTAATAATATGATGTACAGTTAAATGCTGATTAATAAAAAAAGGTATGTACTTGTTTTAAAAAACTAGCTCTGCTTGTAATTATCAATTTCCTTGGATTAATGTTAATTAATATCTTGATTTGTCAGACTTTCAAACACAAATTATCATGCCCTTTTGTTTGGATATTTGAATGGTATGTATCTTAATAAATAAAAGGGAGTTGCTTCTTTCTTTGAACTACTTAAAATTGGTACCTTGTACGGAGTATCATTCTGCCCCAATTGTTTTACAAGGGGGTGTTTGTTTTACAGTGTGTCACCCCAAACTGCCGTTTTTTTTCAAATGGAAACGCTGCAAAATGCAGTTGCCCCATTCCGCCGAAAACCAGTATAGAAACAATCCTGATCCATTCAAGTTTAACAAATAGGATCCAAATAATTATGAAAATTATATAATCACATAAGTATCACTATCCAGATTAATTATAAAAAAGATAGAAATAATTATGAATTTATGATTAATATAAATGGGATTTTACAAAAATTTGACCTGGATAGAATAGTTTATTTTAAACTTTTATACTTGGGTGATCATGGGATTCGTGGCATTATCATGGGAAATAATTAAAATATGTCAAACTTTGATGGGGTTGATGGGGTGTGAGATAAGCACCCTAAACTTGCATATGTAATTCAAATATCTCAAATTTTATATAAAAAGTTAATTTAACATCATGGTCATGTATTTTTGGTTTAAAAATATTAATTTTTGGTGTTTATTTCATAGAGCCCGTTTGGTAGCACGAAAATTGGTTGTTTTGGCTGTTTCTGCTGAAATTTATGAAGTTCTGGCTGAAGTGGCTGTTTTGGTTGATTCTGCTGATTCTAGAAAAAATATTTTAAAAATATATTTTATTGATAAAATAAAGAAAAAATTATATGTAAAAATAGCTAAAATGGTCATCTACAATAACTTCAGCCAATACAGCCAGAAAAGTAACTCCAACCTTACTTTTTCTGCTTATTACACAATTCAACACGCGAAAGTAAAAATTACGTGTTTGGTGAAAAAGCTGGCTGATAAGCCTAATAAGCCGAAAAAAGGGGTCTTCAAACGGGCTCATAATTTGATAATTTTTAGCATTTTACAGTTTAAACTTCCATTGTAAAATAAATAGTATTACCCTGCACTATATATAATTATAATGTTTTCAATTTGCTCATATTGCAGGAAGAAATGGAATTGCCAAGTTTCAAAACTTATTCACTGAAGGACATCTATATGCGATTAAAAAAATTTGTTCAGGATTTTTTTTGAGAATAGGTTGCTCATATTTTAGGATGGATGGAGTGTTCTGAATGTTGAGGTACGTTTACTAACTTTTCATAAGCTTTAAATGTTTAGTTCGTAGTATTTAAATTCCATTTGATGTATTCTTCCTCATAACGGTTTATTAACTTTTGATATGCTTTTTTTGCAGTTAAGTCCGTTGCGAGGAGTTGATTAAGATGTACTCTGTACAACACAATTGCATTGGGTTCCTACAGAGCAGCTAGATGTTGTTTAGATGATTTTGAAAAAAATGTAGAATTCATATGTGCTCTAGGTTATTTTTTAGCAACCATGTAGTATAATAGCAAAATATAGAGTTTGCTATGTATCTGAAATTTATGTATCAGTTCATTACTTTTTTCCTTGAATAAAATGAGTTCTACTTTTATATAGATAATAATGGCAACAGATGGAGTTTCCTTTGTAACCAACTGTATGTATCTGAAATTTATCTATCGGTTCATTACTTATTTTTCCTGTATAAAATTAGTTCTTGATTGTGTAAGAAATCTATGTTTGTTAGATTGCAAAGAAATTGCAAATGTCATAGAGTATAAGATAATAATAAATTGGCAAGGTGAATGGTGCCAATTCTAAAAATATTTTTACAATAAAGAGTTTTTCTTTCTTACATAATTGGTCTTCCCAAAGTTGATATTTTGGTAGTCCATTGTTTTAAAGTAGATATGAAATCTTTTTTTCATGCAATTATGGGGGTGTTTGGATCTGATTCTCAAAACTGATTCTGCTCCTTCAGGGAGCAGAAGCAGAAGCTGGAGTGTTTGGGTGAAATTCCAGAAGCACTTCTGGAGCTCTAATTTACTCTCAGAATCAGTTTTTTAGAAGCTGGGGGGTAGCAGCTTCTGAAAACTGATTCTGATTCTGCTTCTGCTTTTAAAAAAAGAAGCAGAAGCAGAATCAGTTCCAAACACCCCCTATGTTGGATGTAGTTTAAATGTTCCTTAGGAAAATATTTCGTTTCTTTTTTTATGAATAGTAATTGTGTATGAATTGTCAGCATTCAATTACTAATTTTAAAAAGAACTTTACATTTTCATAAAATTAGTGGGTATTTGGTTAGACCAATACTCAATCTTTGACTATAACAACCTTTTGACTAAAATTAAGATTGTCTACAAAAATGTGATTAATGACTAGAGTAGTAATGAAATCATAGTAACTTATGTTTAACTTTCATACTTAAGTTATTATGACACTACATTGTAGTAACTATTTGTCATATTTATGTAAAAAAATCTAACTTAAAGTATGAAATCATACATTATTCCGTTATTAAATTAATAATTGGATTCAGGCTATGTTTGGTACAATTAACTGAAAAGATCTTTTTGTGAGCTTTTTAGTAACGGTACGGTTAGTTTTTAATGACTGAAAAGATCTTAAAAGTAAAAGGTGGTAGCTGTTTGGTAAAAAGCAGACTGTTTGATTTAGTTCTGTTTGGTATACAAGCTATTAGGATTTATTAAAGCTAAAAGTCACAGGCTTTTCACAAATGCTACTACCTGTAGCATATCAGAAAAGAGCTTTTATTTTTTGAAAAGTTCTTAAAAATTGGCGTGCCAAACAAACAACTAGCAGCTTTTAGACACTTTTTAAATAGTACAAAATCCAAAAGACAGAGACCTATGTCAGCCAAACATAACCTCAAACATATAGATACGTACTACTTTCGTTATAGTAAAATTTAGTTTCTAATAAAATGGAGAAGTATACAAAGTATCATTAATTTGAACAAATTATTATTTAATGGTCACTTAAGTTAGTATATATTGTGCCCGTTTGGTAGTCATCATTTTTGGTTTTTCAAGCTTATAAGTGAACTTTTTCACCAAACACGTACGTAACTTTTAGTTTTATGGGCTGAATTGTGTAATAATAATAAAAAATTAGGTTGGAGTTACTTTTCTGATTGTATTGACTGAAGTTACTCTAAGGGTCATTTTACATATTTTTCATATAATTTTTTCTTTATTTTATTAATAAAATGTATTTTAAATTATTATTTTACACAAATCAGCAAAATCAGCCAATACAGCCACATCGGCCAAAACTTCATAAATTTCAGCAGAATCAGTCAATACCGTCGATTTGGTTATTACCAAACGGGCTCATTATTTATTTGGAATAGGTGAACATGAAAGAGCTCCCTCGAGAGCATAACTCTTTCATGATAATAGAAAGAGCTATGCTCCCTCTTATTATTGGACAACATTATTGGACGTTGTCTCCTTAATTTTTGATTTATTTAGTTTTGATTTCAATACTCTAAGAATAATAGAAATAATATAAGAAGTGTTTTCACCAAATATATGAAGTACTAATACTTAAATTTTTGGCATATTTCTTTTGGTATGAACATTATCGTTTAGATTAATTATTGCCCAAATATATTGGCCGTGCAACACACGGGTGAAAATACTAGTTTTTGTAATAACCTCTTATTTTATTTGAGTAATATTTACTCTAAAATATTTTTGAGTAAATATTTTGGTAAAAATGATGATAATATTATTTAGGAAAAATTGGAATCAATAATGTCAATTGATGCTAAAACTCATGTTAATTCTCATAATATGACTAACCATACTTTTTTACCTTCGTATGACCAGAACGTGCAAATCCATGTTCATGCAAATCACTTCCATAATTTTAGGATGAGCTAGTTACTTGTTAAAATTGAATTAACCGTGGAATTAAATAAAGATTAAGAAACACCGGAATAACCATGCATCATATTTAGGCATGAAAATAGGAAAAAAAACTCATGGAGTCATATATTGGGAAACATAGCGTCTTTTAGTCATGCGATAGGTAAATATCTCATGCTAGTAAGCTCAAAATAATTTCAGCTATTGTAATCTCTGTGCAATTCAAACTATGTTAGACCCTTTGCCAATAAAAAAATAGAAAGTTTATTTAAATTACAAATATTGAATTTTAATAAAATGAAATTTTAATTTAAGTAAATCTAAAAATGTATTGTTTTTCAGAAATACAAGATATTACTCCATACGTTTTATTTTTATTTTAATTTTCAAGATATTTTTTTAAAATTTGATCAATAATTGTTTTTGGATTCTTTAACACATTAATGATATCGTTTTGTTTTTAACTAATTTTAAAATGATTTAATATTTTATGATGACTAGCTTCTAAATATTTAATTCCGTAATATTTACAAAAAAAATATTTTTTATTTTTTCACTTTCTTAATTTTGAAAATCAAGGTTTTCATTTTTGAATTTGAATGTGTACTTAATTTGCAATTTCATTTTTCCTTAAAGGTTTTTATATTGACCTTTGTACTCTCGTCATTTTTATAAATAAAAACTTTATAATCTTTTTTTTTTATCATTTTTATCTATGAAAGAAAATTTTAATTTATTTATTTGATATGGTTGAGAGGATTTGTAGGAGTACCATTATTAGTCTATATACAACCGTCAAAACTTGCGGCCGTCACTAAGGGTCCTTCCCTAGCAGTTTTTACTGGCGGTGACGGTGGTCACATGTCTGGTGGATGTTCCGAGCACTTGGACTTGGACGTCTGATCTGTTGCTTCAGGTTTCGAGGGAAGGATGAGCAAAATAAGCTGGAATCGCATGGGGGGGGGGGGGGATTCGGGTTCGGAGAAATGCAGGGTCGGAGGCGGTGATCTCCTACGGGCAAAAGAAGACGAAGGAATGTTGACCCGTCCCCCTCCCGAAACGCCGCCATGGAGGAATTGTGCGACTAGGGTTTGGAAGACTATTTCTATTTCTGTTTCAGTTTGTTTATGTTTTTACTTCGATCTACATGTTGTTTTGTTTGTTATGTATGCTTATTTTTGCCAAACTCTTACATTAGGTGGGGGTGATGAGGGTTTTGCTCCGGCCACGTTAGGCTCATATAGACCTATTACAGGATCAACGAATCACGTTGCTCTGTTTAGGGTGATTGGTTCTTAGGTTGGTTCGAGAGTCGGTGGCTGGAAATGTTCCCTTTATATCTTTTGTCCCTTGTTGAATGTTTTATTATCAATATAAGCCGCCTTGTTCCAAAAATTTAATCTTTGGATCTAATAAGAGTTGATAGATGGTAGTTTAGATTATTACTACATTTGTCTCTCTAACAATTGGACAAAAGAGAGTGACACAATTATTAAGGAAAGTAAAATTGTGTAATTGGTTAAATTGATAAAATGTAAATGAAAGTAAGAATGAATGATAACCACTCAATTTTTACCAAATATATGGTATGAGACTAAATTAGTGATACATTCAAAAAGGTAAAATGAGACAAAAATAGGGGGCGTAAGGAGTATAAACGAATATTCCCCTTTTTAACCGGCTGAACAGGTAACCGATCATGTAAAATAATCGGTAGTTAATTACAATTAATATAAACCGAGCGTCAATAATTGGGATCATTATTGATAATATTTCCCATTACCTTAGGAATTTTGTAATTTGTTTTTGACCGGGAATTGACTAAAAGAAAATGCATGGACTGAATGTTATCAGCTTCGCCATCGGTTGCCCCTGCCTTGCAACTGGTTGCCCCTGCCTTGCAACAAGCCGCCCAGTCTCGCAATCTGTCACCCCCTGCTTTCTTTCGTAATATTCACGCCCTCCTCCTCCTCCTCTTTTCGTTTGCTCGCGGAAATTGCGTCACTGGTGACCCTAATATAGGGTTTAAGAGGAGAGTAGCTATATTTTCCTATTAAGGAAGTGTTTGACGGCTAGGTTTTGAGACTGTGGACGATTGCTGTTGGGTTAGTTTGGATGACAGTGTGTTAGACAAAAGTGTTGTTTTTGAGAAAATGCTGTTGGGCCTATCTCATTTATTCCCTCCTATGTGATTATAGCCCAATTGATGGAGACCCATTAAATCATTTTGACTCTTCACTTAGTCAAAGGATGTATTCTGCAAAAGAGAACCTGTGGTCAAGGAAGAAATTAGCCAACAGAAAAAGATAACAGATAAAGGAGAGAAATAGTTTCTGGGCAGAAATTTGCTGCTCGCCCAGCTTCAGAGAAATCGCGATTGGGAAGGCATCCGTGGTCACTGAAATTTTGACTGGAGGTTTCCAAGACACAGACCTAAATTCTGAACGGTGGAGATTGGATTTTGACAGTCAGATCGTCTGGAATCATCTCCGAACAGACCTGCAGTTTTTAGGGTGATTTCAATCCTTGTTCATCCTCTTTGTATCTTTGTTGAAGTTTTATACTTCTTGAGCTGTTGTATCATCATATTTGATGTTTGGAGACTCTCTTGTACTCATTCTTTGTTGATTAGTGAAGAGTTTGGGTGGACGGAGGTCCCGTGGTTTTTCCTCTTCGATTTGGAGGGGTTTTCCACGTAAAAATCATGGTGTTCTGTGTGTGCTTGGTTTCATTTCATTTTTACAGCTTTCTCCATATATGTTTTTGATGTCATCCTGTGAGTTTCTTGCAAGCTTGGAAGAATTATTT